TTTTTTTTTTTTTTTTTTTTTTTTTGAGAGAGCGTGAGTGGGGGAAGGGCAGAGAGAGGGGGACAGAGGATCAAAAGCAAGCTCTGTACTAATATCAGCAAGCCTGATGTGGGGCTCAAACCCATGAACTGACCTGTGAGATCATGACCTGAGCTGAAGTTGGAGGCTCAACTGACTGAGCCACCTAGGTGCCCCAGAATACAGTAACATCTTAAGAATTGTTACCCATCTCCATATCTTAGGAATAAAAAACCCCGAAGTCCAGGGGTGCCTTGGTGACTCTTGACTTTGGCTCAGGTCATGATCTCGCAGTTGGTGAGATTGAACCTGCATCAAGCTCTGTGCTGACGGTGCGGAAACTGCTTGGGATTCTTTCTCCCTCTCTCTCTGCCCCTTACCCAGTTACTCATGCTCTCTTTCAAAATAAATAAACTAAAAAAAAAAAAAACCCAAATCAAAAAACAACAAAGTCCAAAGTAAATTAAACTTCAGTAAAAGTTGAAAATATTACATAATACTCGGATGATAGGTAACATTTAAAATTTTCAAAGACTCTAAAAAGTTTGTTACAAATGTAATACATTTTCATGATAAATGAACAGAATTGATACTTAAATGAAACCACTCACAATTCCATTACCCAGAATGAACTCATTAACACTTCCCTGTATATCATTTTGGACATCCAAGGTTTCTTTGTAAAATAGATTTATTTTACAAAAATGGAGTAACACACATTAGGTTCATACCCTGCATTTTTTTCCTCAATACTTTTGTGTGTGTGTGTGCGTGTGTGTGTGTGTTTTAAAGAGAGACAGATTGGGACGACTGGGTGGTTCAGTCATTAAGCGTCCAACTTCGGCTCGGGTCATTTCAAGGTTAGTGGGTTCAAGCCCTGCGTTAGGCTCTGTGCTGGCAGCTCAGAGCCTGGAGCCTGCTTCAGATTCTGTCTCCCTCTCTCTCTGCCCCTCCCCCACTCATGCTTTGTCTGTCTGTCTCTCTCTCAAAAATAAGTAAACATTAAAATTTCAAGAGAGAACTATAGCATGAGTAGGGGAGAGGGGCAGAGGGAGAGACAATCTCAAGCATGCTGTATGTTCAGTGTGGAGTCTGACACGGGACTCAGTCCCATGACCCCAGCCGAAATTAAGAGTTGGTTGCTCAACTGACTGAACCACCCAGATGCTCCCCTTTTTTTCTCAATAGTTTTATGATTTGCTCTTTCTTTGTCAATAAATGTAAATACATAATTTTAATCACTGCATAGTATTCTATTAATAATAACTGCTAACTTACACTGAGGGCTTAACCAAATGTTACGACTTTTTTTTTCCCCCCATCTTTACTACTCCCACATGAAGTAATTTGCAGATGAGGCAAGTGAGACACAGACTGGTTAAGTTACTTTTCACAATCACACAGCTGTAAATAGCAGAACTTATATGGTGTTTCTAACCATATATGGTATCTTGCTATACCACCATTTTTTAAAAACATATTCCCTGTTTTGAACATTTAGATTGTTTTGGACATATTATTGTTATAAATGACATGATGAACTTCCCTGTAACTGTTTAATTTTTTCCTTAGGGTAACTTGCTAGAAGTAGAATTGCTAAGTTAAAGGTTATGCATGATTTTGATTCATATTGCCAAATCATCCTCCAGAATAGTTGTATAAATTTATACCCCTACCAGAGTCCATTTTCCCACACTTTTGCTAATAGTGGATATTCGTTCTTTTTTTTAAGTTTATTTATTTTGAGAGAGAGAAAGCACAAGTGGGGAAGGGGCAGAGAGACAGAGAGAGAGAGAGAGAGAGAGAATCCCAAGCAGGCTTCTCATAACCAGTGCAGAGCCTGGTGCGGGACTTGAACTCATGAACTGCGAGATCATGACCTGGGCTGAAATAGGACATTTAACCACCTGAGCCACACAGGCAGCCTGCTAATAGTGGATATTATTAAACAAAATTAAAATCCTTGAGTCATTGACATTTTATTTTTTTAAATGTTTATTTTTGAGAGAGAGTGAGTGGGAGAGGGGCAGAAAGAGAGAAGACAGAGAAACCCAAGCGGGCTTCACACTGTCAGTGCAAATCCTGATGTGGGGCTTGAACTCACAAACCGTGAGATCCTGAGCTGAGCCAAATCAAGAATCGAATATCTAACCAACTGAACCACCCAGGCACCTGAGTCATAGACATTTTAAACTGTTGGCATTTGCAGGCAAAGCAGATTTTTGTTTTTTGTTTTTTGCCAAATTGGGGTGTGTGCATGTGCCATTGTCCCTATTTTAATAGGTAGGAGTTAAACTGAGAGTTTAAAGTTAGAGCCTTAGTTTACTAACTAGTATAATAACTAGTTAAGGGACAGAATTGGGATTTGAAACTATATCTTTTTGGTATCAAAATTCAAGTTCTTTTGCCATTCTGCTTTTTTTTTCTTTTTTTAATTTTTAAAATTAAAAAAAAATTTTTTATTTTTTAAACCTTCTGTGAT